ATAAATAATAAATAACGAAGCTAGACAAAATTTTGACAGAGACTTCTATAGTCCTATATAGTTAATAAACTTTCTGATACATTTTGTGTTTGTCAAGATATAGCAGACATTTTTTTTTTTGTAAATACTAATTCGCTTGTCATCTGTGGCACTGGAAATTTAATGGATTTTCTTTCAGTGTATAAAAAAAGAATCTGAAACATTAAATAATAATTATGTATTTTTCTTGAAATAATATTTTACACCAAAAACCACCTATATATAATTATAGCAGTGTGTTTGACGACAATTCGAGTTGAATGTTCCACTGTCAGAAGAGACAATCTGACGGAAAAATCACGTTCGGAAAGCAAATGTAGAGCAAATGAATTTTATAATTTTGTCACGTTTAAAAGCCAAAATGAATGTGCGTGTGTTGAAGAGTGCGAGAGATGGAGTGAAGATGAAGGGGGGGGCACAGTGATATAAAGTGGATAAACGTGGAAATCAATAGGTTTAATTTAATTACATCCAAAAATAGGTAAAATTACGTTTACGCTAATATGTAGTATTAATAAATTATATACATACGTATTCAGTAGTGGTAGGGTAATAGTAGTAGACTACATTTTGTGCACTCCATTTTACAGAGGGAGGCCCCTGGTTAATTGCAAACGTGCAAATGGTAAAGGGACGTTCCCGTGTGAATTTGTGTCCAGCGAACATGAACGATAACAATATAATATAACGACAATGGAAATTATTGTATAATATGCAAAACACAACATAAAGCTGTCGTCAGCAATCATTTTTATGGTCATGTGGGTTGTAGCTTATAATTAATTATTTTTATTGCAGTTATTTTGATTTACCTGATTACAATTAACACATTTTACTTCCATCCTGGATTCGCGATGCTTGTGTCTAAATTCGTTTTGCAAGGTTTTCTCTACATACGTTGACGTTGAGGTTACAACACCCAGAGCTATAAAAAAATATTGTTTCATTAAACTATATGGTATTGTGTCGTCTACCAGATATACATTTGAATAAAAACAATATATTGCGCATCGCTCAAAGCAATAATTGCATAACACATTTTATCTCTGACCATTGAATAATGTACACGACGAATATTAAACTATTACAGCTGATGGAAATAATAATTTTCGGTAACATTTTGACTTTATTATCGTGTATAATGTAAGAGTGTAAGACGTCTAAAATATCCAACTACGAAACAAAATTGCATAACAAAAAATACAAACATAATATTGTAATAAATTATAAAATAATAGATATGCACTTGTGGCAAATAAAATTTATATAATATTTCCTTTTTAGTACATTTAAGCTAGAGTAAATTAAATTTTATCTGGTGGTTTTTTCTTTTTGATACTATACACTTGGTGACATGGGCCATTGAGTTTACAAATAATTTAAATCGATAACATATTATTAGGTGTACTTATTCAAAATATTAATTTTAAATTTTGGTTTGAAGATTGGCGACTGTGATGAATTGGATGATGTTGGCTTTGGATTGAAGGTGATTGTGAAGTATTTCGGCTAGTGATTCGGGCAGCTTGTGACTAATTCTGATCTTGTGGTATATTCGGCATTCGGTGAAAATGAACCACCTATTCGAGAAACTACGTAAGTCACAAAATATCACAAATTGAGATATTATGTGGAATGACGTGTTATCAAATGATAGACGGATCATGTGTGAACATTTGCAAATGAAATATTTAATTTTTCCACCGTAAATAATCAGTATGAAAGAGAAATAACCATGTATCATTGGTAGCGTAAAAACGGTTTTTTCTTGTTTTCTCCGAGTTACCTTTTATTGACTTACGTCGTATCTCGAATAAGTGATTCAAATGTGGTTGATGGTGACTTGGACACCATAGGCCTTGCATAATGACGGTTCTTTTTTGGCCATTATCGAGAATTATGTGCATTCAAGGTTGAATATGTTTTTGTTTCAATGTACTAGACTGTGTTTTTTAACAAAACGTCACAGAAATAAACGCGTTGGATGGCTCACCAAACGAAATTATAATATAATGTTTACATACAAACCGTTTGCGTTCAATTTCTCGTCAGATACCGAATAATAGAGACAAACGCTGTAATATTTCGCGAACTGTCACATTGTAAAATAAATTTACGGTCGTAACACACACTGGTTGTTAACTTTGCCAAGAATAGCTGAGAGCCGAGGGAGTTGTAACGGCGCGATTCTTTTATTAATATTTTTTTTACAAGCTTTGTTTTATATTAAAAAAATAAATCCCTGAAATTGGTAGCGTTATATATTATTATTGTATATATATTTATATGTTCTAGGACAGGTTGCTAGCAATATTGTTTTTCTTCTGTGATCCGCCTATTACAAATACGTCTTTTACTTACGCGAGTATCAACTGTTGCGGTCGCTGACATACTAAATCCAATTAAAACTGTTATAAAATCAATTGCCGACGATTAATAATTTACTTTTTTTCGTTAGGACTTAAAGTTTTCTAAGAAATCTTTGGCGTTCTATGTTTGGTATTTTGTCTAAAAAGAGTAACCAGTCAGCCTTAAAATCACAGTTCATTGACAAGCATTTGTATTTATTTATATCTGAACTTTTTTTCTAGTTAAAAAACAAATTGTGTCATAAGTAGTATAAATAGTGAATTGGTGCAGCAGTTTTTGCCATAAAATTATAATATCTTCATTTATGTTATTATGTAAGAATATTAAATTATTATTTTAATATATTATGTATGTGAATATTTTAGACCTTAACTATCAATTCCGTATAGGTATAGAACACGTTAATATTTAACATTAAGTTGGTTTTGGTAGTTTTTTAAAATTGAAAAATAAATCATACCAGAGGTGTTTCTAAGAAGAAAACGCTTTCTATTTATATTACTTACCGTTGTTCGTCAAAGGTTTCGTCTCTCTACTTTGTGATGGCATCAATAACAGCATACGTGACAAAACTCAAAAACACTTCTAAGTGCACATGATAAAAATATCTACTTTAGCGTGGAATTCAATGAGATGTATTTGTTAGTCGTTGAAAAATCACTCGGTCAGCTTAATAATATGTTATATAGTGCAAGTATTAAAGATCGCTGTCTGTTAATTTTGGATTTTGAACCTTTTGTGTTCGCATAATATTGAACTTATTTTTTTATTATTTTCGTTCCTATTGTGTTTGAACACGACATATTAAAGTTGTTGCGATAAACAAGACAATACGTGACAATAACCATTCAGTTAAGTCACAAGTCGGAACTTTACCATTGCACTAAACTTTATGAATAATATAAGCAGTAACCATTTTGGTCAATTTATCAAATGTCAATAAAATAGGAAAATTTCAACAATATCAACACATTAGAAGACTGCGGTGGTAGTTATCCACGTAATAAAATATATACATTTTATGAATTAATTATATTATTATTTATTACCCATATGGCTGTATTAACTATTCTCCGAAAAATATTTCCACAGAAATTTTATAATATAATATATTCACTATTAATAATTATTAACTAACAAAATATTAGATTAAATACGAATAAACTTACTCAATTACGACACCTATTTTTGGAAACATCTGAAGTAACTAAATAATACTGTGGCATTAAAATCAAAAAATAATTGCAATCTCAGACTGCCATATTGTTTTAATGGAAGCACATACGACTTTTTACCATTTACAAAGTTTAAAAGGCGAGGAAACAGATTAGTGAGGCAAGTGGTTTAACCACAACCAAGACAATAAAACGGTTATGTCGTTTTTTTAGTTATTTAAAGGGGGCATAACCATAGTTTTCATGTACCATGTGCATAATTAAAAGGTTTTTATGATTTAGGTAGGTATGATTAGGACTTATTTCATAAGCAAATCTTAACATTCTATTAACATAACAGACGAAAGCAAAAAATTGGCAGATATTAATTAATTTATTATTCTAAATTTCTAACTAAGAACTGAATCAAAAAATGATTTTCCGAATATGTAAATTTTAGTTAAAACAGAATGTACCGTAGATTAATAATGTAATAATGAACTAAAAGCAAGACGATGACTGTATACTTATACTAAATCATGGTTATTTATAAAGTTAAACAGTATTAGTAGGTGCCAATTATATTGATAACCCAAATAAATTGTCAAATTTAACAAATTAAATTATATTGATTTTTTGCACATCATGCGTAGTTAGTATAATATATCAATAAATAAATGATACAATTTAAAATAATGTTTTAATTTAATAATGAAACATAGGTATTATGTAGTAATACAATTAAGTAAACAATTAAAATATATGCCAAAATTACGTTTTATTTTATTGTAATTGACGAAGTTAAAAACCAATTAGATTAATTGTTTTATTACACCTATATTAAATATGACAATGTATACACATAATTGCAATCGTATTGTTTACACAATAGCAAGTTCAAGTGTTTGCTTAAAAATTACAGAAAATACTGCATAATTATTTTATACATTACGTAACAGAATTTAATACATTTACTTGCACACACATTTATATTAATATTATTCATACGATGTATATGCACATAAAGGGTGATTTATAAAACATTCCCCAATTATTTTTCTTTCAACTTTTATGATTTTGTAATAGGCTTATTCATTTTTTTATTTTATTTTTTTTTTGAAATAGGTTCTTATCTCAAATTGATTTATATAGTAATTTATAAATTATTCAACGAAAAGCTAAGTTTTCAAATCTTCAAATATTTCTTAATAAGAAATCCTAAGTTCAGTATATTGTCATTTTCTGTTAAAAGCGAAAATAAAACCTAAAAACCACAATCTATAAAAAGATAGAAAAAAATACGTAGTGTGTAAAGTACTTCTAAGCGATGATAATATCTTTTTCTGTATTTTTAAATCACAAAAAGTTAGAAAAAAAAAATAAGTGTAGTATGTTCTAACGGATCACCTTGTATATATAATGTGTTTTTTCCCTCAGAGATAAAGAGGGACCACGTGGACAACAACCACCTCCGCTATTGCGATCAAGTACCTTGCCTGCCATTATTGTACCCGGCCTCAACATTTTACATGCTCAAATTGGACCAAATTCCACGCCAAACGGTATAGTTTTTATTACTTATTTATATGGTTTCAGTACGATGTAGTGTTTTCACAAGTTTGATGTTCAATAGTTATTAGTTATAACTTATAAGTTAATACACAAGCTAAAGCACAAATATATATTTATACGTATATAATCTAGAATAAAAAGAAATAACTTGTAAATAAATGAAGGATAAAATATCCTTTTAACATTTTGAGAGATACCTACAGGTATTTTAATATATTGCATTGTACTTTATAATAATATGATAGTTTACTTGTTTAAAAATGATACATCTACGCATTTAAGTATCAGTCAAACTGTACAGCTTAAACTCTGACACTCGATTACCTTTTCTCCCCAGTCGTTGTCAGTTTGAGTAATTTTTTTGGATTGATATCATACGATCGCGATAATATACGTTTTTTCATCGACATAACTAATGCAATAAATTATGATCACACGGCGGTATGGATAGGCAATTTTGCTACATCGGTGTCGTCATTACGCTTTTACGGTGCTTCAAATATTAAAACAATGGTTTGTTAAAATACCTCAAACTGCTACATTATTAATATAATTTAAATCGAGTATTAAGTGTGAGATAAAATCAGTAAAATGGTGGTTCATGTGACACCGTCACTACCATAGTCACACTCTTGTCACTTATTTATCAGTGGAATGTCTGCAGTCCGAATGACTGACCACTACAGGACACTCTATATTATGCAATTATGTCTGACTTCTTAGTTTACAGTATATATATTAAACGTACAGCCAAAACCTTGGTACACTCGAGTGCACAATTCAAGCAAATTCAAACAATATCAACAACAACTATTTTCTCTACTTTATAATATCGCATTTAAACTGTTCATATTAATGATGAATGTTATTCGAAATGTATGATAGTATAGATGATTAAAGTTGCAATTTAAAACTATTTCGAAATAATTATTTTCTCCTTGATAGCATTTTGAATTGCAAGTATATTTGTACAATATTTAGAATAATTTTTCAAACAAGTAGTTTCGTACCTACTATTTTAATATTTTAACGCAGATTTTTAAAGTAATATTATAATTAATAAAATTATTTCATTATGATAAAATTAAAAATATTTCTTATTTTACTTAAACTATGTTTATAACTATATTTCATTAATTAAAATTAATGAATAGTTGGGATGTTAATGATTACTTATTTTTTTGGTATGTACTGCGTTTTACTTTTCTGATGTAAAAATTATTTTATTGTCACTTTTTACTTAACTAAAATTCATTTTAAACTGTTTTAGATTCAATTTTATACTCTGAACGATGCGATGCAAAGAATTTATCATATTTACAATAATGTACAAAAAGTATTATCGTTCCGACTTTCCCCGTAAGCAGTTTTCGAGCCGAGACAGTTACATAATAAATTAATATAGCAAGTAAAATATCTATTTTAAGAGGTCGTTTTCCATTTTTTTTTTCCAGTAATTTCTTTAACCGTAATGGATACCTAACTAAATTCTGAAGAAATTTTAGCACACTAAACGTGATTATCACTGAGCTTTCACTGAGGTTTTAACACAAGTTCGCTCAGAATTGTGTTTCAAATGAAATTACCTGACATAACTTTTACATTTATTACCAGTACATCCCACTAGTCTATTCCCAGGTGATTGGAGCAATACGAATGTCTAGTACTGATTTATTTACCTTGTTCAGTATTATTATTAATTGTTATCGGATAAAAATTATTTTTTGATACAATAGATCTAAATATGGAAAATCATACCCTTAGAAATGAAATGGTAAATTATAATGCATTTTATTTACCAATTGTTACTAATTTATTATTTATAAGCATCCGAATGAATTATTTGAGAGAATTTAAAAGATTCAAATAATTTAGTTTTTGCTTGATGAATTCATGCATACAAGTTCTATCATTAGTGACATTAGTCGTTGTAATAATTGTAGTAACTTCCTTACCATATGTAACATTCATTATAACAACAGCTGACTACAGTCATAAATCAAAGTGTATAGTTTACTCGAATCCAAGACCAATGTTTTGGATCAATACTGGCTGTTCCGACTTCCAACTAATGGTTTGTTCGATTTTGGTAATTTCATTAAACAGTTATTTATAACTGTGAACACCTGTGAGTGCGTGGGGCTTACATTGATCTCTCCTTTTACTGGTACGATGTTATTCTCATATTAATCAATTTGCGATTGTTAGGCATCGAAACAAAAATAATAGTTTCTCAATAGATAGAGGTACACTATTATATCAACATTTTTTTCTATTAAAAATCCACGTTTCGATATTAAATATCAATTATACATATTTTTTATTTCATAAAATGAATCAGTCAATAACCTCATATAATTGTTAGCTTGTAGCTTATAAATTTATTTAGCTTAAAGATATTTAAAAAAATGACCAATAACTTCTTTTAGTAATATTAAATTATATTTATTCGGAACAAATAAAGTGTAGTGTGTCTTTTGTTTTAATATCACATTGTATTATTTAAAATAATGAGTGACTTGCTTTAAATGGATGACTCAGTATATAATACTATTCTAGGTTACTGATGGAATAAATTACATTTCATTGGTTTATTTTTTTATGAATTAATATAATATATTAAAATTAAAATTTGGTATTGGCATAGTTGTACACGTTTTGCAATTACATATAGCTGAATTTTATATATCAACGAAGCTTTTGTTTCAAACAACACACACATACACGTACATGTTTCTGATGCAAGTATACATACCGGAATTCTTAAAAATAAAAAAATAAAGCAATTGAAATTTCTTTTTTTCATTTTCCAATTCAAAAACTTGAAAAGAAACTTTTACATTTACCATGGCTGTCAGATTGGTTTTTATCTTGGCCTAGATTTTGTAGACCCCTGGATGGGTTTTTTTCTATTCTGATTCTCCATATGAATGTATTTTAGTTTCAAAGATACATATATATATATATATATTTGTTATTTTTCTAGAATCATATTTTATAAAATTAATTTTATTATTGCGGTGAAAATATGATTGTATATGTTCAAGACTGATAAATAATTTTCCATATCATTGATATTTGATTTAATAAAAAGAAAAAAAAATACTGCATAATGCCGTCATAAATATAATAACCAGAAAGGTAAATTTAGTATTTGTTAGTTTATTTTAAAAAACAGTTTGATTTTCTTGTTTTTAAAATGTACATTACATGATACTTATACAATGTATTCTAAACATATGCCTATATGAGAAGCGAATAATCATAACTTAATATGATAATTAAATGTAATCCGTTGATTAATTATTGTTTCACGATTAATTGTTTACTATTCTGCGAACATTTGTGATTACGATAAATTAGTCATAGACTCTCATGTTAGTGACAATAATTTATTTGAAAATGTCCCATTCACAATACATTTAACATCTCTGTCATCTATATAACTAATATATCTATGTTAGAAATTTAAAATATAGTTTCGGCGCGTACAGTGTGAAATGTGCAATGTGCAATGTGCAATGTGCATATTGAATATTATATTATTATATCTATCTATTTACCCATATATTATGCTTATGTGTAATGGATTAAATGTGAATTGAGGGTATTGCACATAATATCAGTTTGAAGTGAATAAGATCCACAACTGTTGGACTTAGAAAATATAATTTGTAATTGTTTTTTTTTGTATTTCTAAAGGTTATTATTTATTACTTATTTGGTTTAATATTATTAATGATTGAATAGGAATAATGTTATTTTATAAATATGTAATGTAGAATAATTGTAATTAGCTTCCGAAAATAAAAATTTATATTTTATTATTCTATACAATATTGCATCTAAACATATTACGAAAAAAGCTAATAAGTATTTAGCTCCTTAAAATAATGGATTATCAATTATATTTTTAGAAATGTATATGATAGATATAGAAAGGAAGTTGAACTGAAATGCGGAGTTCCCGTTTATTATGATACACCACTTCAATTAAGACCACCTGGAACAAAGCATGAATAAATAGTAGTATGACATCTGATTGACGTAGTATTTTGTACTTTTAAAAAATTAATTTACAACCTATTTTAGAAATTCACTGCTACTAAAATAAACGCGGAGCACGTTAACAATAATTCATAGAAAGCCATGGTACAATCAGAGAGTAAGGAAGCTTCAAAAGAGCCAATCATGCAAATATTTTTGATGGAAACGAATAATTTATTGTAAAACATAGTCTGGAGCCCGAAGGATAAGATTCGTGCAGTTGATGACGAATCTAACCAATATAACATTAAAAGATCACCTTAACAAGACAATGGTTGAAAATGTTTGAAAATTGCCTTTCATCGATCCAACTTCAAATTGAAGTTGTGAATAAATTGATATTGAATACGGATTTCGAGAAATACAATAAAATATTTTATCATACATTTACAGTTTATTATGTGAACAATTATTACTTTACCAACAAGACAGTGATTTAACCAATAATATGTTTATTTTTTAAAAACAATTATTAAATAAAAGTATTTGGATGTGTTAATTTTTGAACGCTGGAAGATTTAATTATTAAAAGTTGTGTTTTCGACAATAGATGAATATTTATTTCAAGGTAAGAAGCTCCAATGTGTGAATTTAGTGGTGTTGACCTAACAGTACTACACATTGTAAACGAATTCCAAATTATGTATGAATACTATCATCAGCGTCTCCAAATCAACATATACTCACCATCTACATTTTTCATTTGGATCCAACAAGGACAACACAAAAGTTTACATTTTATAAAACTAATCAACCGGTTTGATAACATTTGGAAAAAAAGTTGTAAACTAAAAGTATAAAAAAAAATTCTGATTGGTAATATTTATGTAGGTACCAAATAACTAATATTGTCTGTTTTGATTAATATTAATTTTAATTGTTGAATACATAATATTTAAACTCTTACTTTCTTGAATAGTTTAACGACTTTAGTTTTGTGTAA